GCCGACTAGGGATTGGCGGATGTCTATTRGATGACTCTGCCAGCACCTTGTGAGAAATCAAAGTTTACGGGTTCCGGGGGGAGTATGGTCGCAAGGCTGAAACTAAAAGGAATTGACGGAAGGGCRCCACCAGGCGTGGAGCCTGCGGCTTAATTTGACTCAACACGGCGAAACTCACGAGGTCCAGACATGACAAGGATTGATAGATTGACAGCTCTTTCTTGATTCTATGGGTGGTGGTGCATGGCCGTTCTTAATTGATGGAGTGATTTGTCCGGTTTATTCCGTTAACGAACGAGACCTCAGCCTGCTAAATAGCTACGCGGGGACCTTTGCTCGTGGCCAGCATCTTAGAGGGACTGTTGGACGACTAGCCAACGAAAGTTTAATGCAATAACAGGTTTGTGATGCCCTTACATATTTTGGGCCGCACGAGCGCTACACTGATAAATCCAACGAGTCGCTTGCTTGGGTCGAAAGGCCCGGGTAACCTTCTTAAAGTTCATCGTGACGGGGATAGATTGTTGTAATTATCGATCTTGAACGAGGAATGCCTAATAAGCGCGAGTCATCAGCTCGCGCTGATTACGTCCCTGCCCTTTGTACACACTGCCCGTCGCTCCTACCGATTRAATGGTCCGGTGAAGTGTCAGGATTGCGGTGATCTTGGCGGTTTGCCGCTGGGGGTGCTGTGAGAAGTTCATTGAACCTTGTCAGGTTTGCGGAAGGATCACTGACACGTGAATGGCCGATCTTCAGGGTGTGGGACGCTGGCTTGCTCGCCCTTCCGCCGCCCTTTGCCCCCATCCTCCCTGCATCCGCTTTTCTTTTCCGTTTCATCACCATCTTGGGCTTAGTGCCCATCTGGCGGTTGGCCCGGCGCAGAGGGGTGCGTGGTGTAGGTCGAGGGTGGGGGGAGTGGGCAAGGTTCCGGGCCTTATGGCGTTGCTCCGACTAATCCCGTCTCGCATCCGAAGGTTGTTACCTCGGCCCAGCCCCACTCTCGACTTCTGGTGGGGATGGCGGTTTGTCCGGGCACGGACAGCCCTGCGGGAGGGTCAGGGGCGGGATGTCGGGTGGTGGCGGCTGTCCTCGGCCTGCGTACCCCTGTTCCTTCCCGTCTCAGCTTTGTCCAGACCTCCTCTTCATCCCGGCCTCAACCTCGGCTTCGTGCGGAGCTAGTGGCTTGTTTGGGGATCGAGGGTCGTGGTACAGGCTAGGGGTGGGGTGTGTTGCGGGGCTCTCGGCCCCTCCCCGTTTCGTCCTGCCTTCCTTCCCAACGGGGTTCTCCTTTCCGGACAGATCGTCGTCCTCGACACAGTCGAGGTGGTCTGAATCTCGGGGTGGAGGGCCGTTGGGGGAGGGTTTTGGTCGTGACGGGGTGGTGTCGGGTTGGGGGTGGGGGAGGAGACGGCGCTTGCACCCTCGTTGCCCCGCTGCTCCCCGGTGCCCTGCCCGGCCCCCCGACCGGGGGGTCGGGCGGGCCCGTGGCAGCGGCGGCTTTGCAACTTCTTATTGATACACCTGCTCTGATTTGTCGCTGTCCGGGTTGACGGCCCCCTTCAGTTCTGGTCGAGGGGTCGGTCCTGTCGGAACGGCACCATATTGTAGAACTCTCGGCAAACGAATATCTTGGCCCTCGCAACRATGAAGAGCGCAGCGAAATGCGATACTGAATGTAAATTGCAGAAATCCGTGAGCCATTGATACCCTGAACGCACATGGCGCCGAAGGCTTCTGCCGAGGGCACGCCCTCCTGAGCATCATTGGATTCGTCACGACCTCAGCACCTTCCGTTTCGGAGAGTGGTGGGGTCCGTGGTCGTGGCTTCCCTCGCTTCCCACTTGAAGAGCGTCGATAGCCTAAAGTGGAAGGGAATTGGAGAGCAATCCAAGCGAGTCTGCGGGGGCCGCAGCCCAGAGTGGTGCATTTCGCTCCGCCCTGTTGTCGCCCTCCAGCACCCGTTTGTGGGTCGTGGTCTTCGTTTCCCTGAAAACGGCACCTTCCATTCGCTCCCATAAGCTTGAGGTGGGCTTGCGGTTGGGGGTGTCGGCCTCGAACTGTGGAGGTACGTCGGGCCTTGCCTTTTGATCTCAGGTCGGGCGGGAAAACCCGCCCAATTTAAGCATATAACTAAGCGGAGGAAGAGAAACCAACGAGGATTCCCTTGGTAGCGGCGAGCGAACCGGGAATAGCGCAGACTTAAAATCCGGGGGCTGTGTTGCTCCCTGAATTGTAGTCTTGAGAGGCAACCTCTGCAGCGGGCCATATGCAGGTTCCCTGGAAGGGGTTGGTCCCATATGAGGGTGACAGCCCCGTCGACGGCCGGACCCTGCTGCACAACGAGGTGTTGTCCAAGAGTCGGGTTGCTTGGGAATGCATCCCCAATTGGGTGGTAAGTCCCATCCAAGGCTAAATATGTGCRAGGGACCGATAGCGAAGAAGTACCGCAAGGGAAGGATGAAAAGAACTTTAAAAGAGAGTTAAAGAGTGCTTGAAATTGCGAGGGAGAAGCGGATGCAGGGGAAGTCGTGCGCTCCCGTTTGGGCAGCGGTGGACGGCGACTGTGTTGTCGCCCCCCTTGTTGGATGTTGGGTGCCAGCCAGCATGGGCTGCTGTGACCGGCATTGAAGTGGGGAGCGATTGAAACCCCCTCAAGGATGGCTGTCACGGCAGTCGAGGACCTTGAGCACGCGCCTCTTTCGGCGGGCTCGTTCGGGTTCCTGCGTGTTCGGGATGCTRGCGAAATTCCTCTATCGTGYCCGTCTTGAAACACGGACCGAGGAGTTCAACGTGCATGCGAGCTGGTGGGTGATTAGCCCACGAGGCGGAAGAAACCTGAGTGGCGGAAACCCTCTGGGGGTGCACCGTCCGCCAACCACGATCTGCTGTGAGAGGTTTGAGTGTGAGCATGCCCGTTGGGACCCGAAAGATGGTGAACGATGCTTGAGCAGGGCGAGGCCAGAGGAAACTATGGTGGAGGCTCGCAGCGATACTTACGTGCAAATTGTTCGTCGGACTTAGGTATACGGGCAAAAGACTAATCGAACCGTCTAGTAGCTGGTTCCCTCCGAAGTTTCCCTCAGGATAGTTGGAGCTGTTGAATAGTTTTATCGGGTAAAGCGAATGATTAGAGGCCTHGGGGGTGAAACACCCTCGACCTATTCTCAAACTTTCAATATGTAAGATTTCGGGGTTGCTTAAGCGAACCCCGAGGATCAATACAAGCTCCAAGTGGGCCATTTTTGGTAAGCAGAACTGGTCCAGCGCGCGGCAAAGCATCGTGCGTCCTGTGGTGTCCAGCGCGCCCCCGACGACCCTTGAAAATATGGAGCTGCGGGTACCACTCACGCTCGGCCATACTCATAACCGCATCAGGTCTCCTAGGTGAGCAGCCTCTGGTCTAAGGAAGAATTTAGGTAAGGGAAGTCGACAATATAGATCCGTAACCTTGGGAAAAGGTTTGGCTCTGAGGGCTGGGCCTAGGGGTCTGCGCCTCGATGTCGTTAGCTGCCTGTGGTCTGCCCGAGCTGCTCTCGCGGCGAGGGTGGAGCCCGCGTGCCATTGTGCCGACGGGCGTAGAATGTCTTATGTCCCCACCCTTCGGGTGGGGCCGTGGGACTCTCCCTAAGCATCAAAATGCTGACTTAGAACTGGTGCGGACAAGGGGAATCCGAATGTTTAATTAAAACAAAGTATTGCCATGGTCCCAACGGATGTTGACRCAATGTGATTTCTGCCCAGTGCTCTAAATGTCAAAGTGAAGAGATTCAACCAAGCGCGGGTAAGCGGCGGGAGTAACTATGACTCTCTTAAGGTAGCCAAATGCCTCGTCATCTAATTAGTGACGCGCATGAATGGATTAACGAGATTCCCACTGTCCCTATCTACCATCGAGCGAAACCACAACCAAGGGAACGGGCTTGGAAGAATCGGCGGGGAAAGAAGACCCTG